AAGAGGAAGGGCTATTAAAAAAAGAAAGAAACTCTAAAGAGACACACCCGTATTATCATGGAGCCTGCGCGTCATGTGACTGGCCGGCCAGTAAGAGGGAGCCCAACCTCTGATTCACGCCCAGCTAAGAGACAGAAGCCCTCACAGCTGAAATCCTCTTGATCTACCTATTTGTAAGACTTCTAAATTAGGGATGCATAAATAGCCAGGAATCTTTTGCTGCAGGCCACTTCTGCTTGTCAGCAGAGGGGCAGAGAACCCGCATTTAGCAGGTAGATGTAATGCATGAGGGAGGGGGACTCAAAATGCTCTGTGCACGCTATTTAAGCCAAGTGTTCACAAGCCCTTTTCATCAAGATGTGCACAGCCCGAGGAGGAGGCAACACAAACAGAAACATAACCAAACAAGAGCACACAAGACAAAAGCAGGACGAGATGTCTAAGGGGCGCGTTCTGTGAAGTTGCAACAAAGCCGCAGCACTGGTATGGAGAATGGGGCCCTTTGAAGGGAGGGTGAACTGAGCATCTCCTTTAAAGCATCTCTAGTTGGGCAAGAATACGGTGAATTCTCAGTGTGGTAACAGGAAAAGACCCAAAGAAATATGGATCAACCGTGAAAGTCATTATGTTTTTACATAATTTAATTGGAAGGTCATTCCCTGAAACACCTTGATTACGACTCTGTGAAGTGACTTTTAATGTATTTAAATTTTCCCCTCCCTTCTTCGAAGTTTTGCCTATAGCGATACTGCCAAATCCAGGAATCGTTCAAAGACAGACACAGGCAGTCAGGGCTGCAAGATGTCAGAGATCTGAGCAGTAAGGCTGAGCGACGGCACGCTCCATGCAGTTCTCTGGAGATCCACCCACCGATTTGTCTCACTTTCCACCAGAAGCCACTTGTCCTCTGCCACTAGAAAGACTGTCTTGAGGTTGATGGGAAGGGAGATGGTGTGAGTGCGTCCTTCTAGAACATCCAGCACAGCCAGGCTGTTCCTGAAAAACAGAGAAGGCTCTCTGAAAGGAGATAGGGAGGATCGTGGCTGAGTAATCAAGGCACAATTATTTCATGACACATAAGGCAACCCTAAAAACAATGTTTTTAAGACTAAATAATGACATAGAAAAATGTTAACTGAGAAAACATCTACTGTATATCTATATACAGTATCTATACTATAATATATAAATATATCCACCATATAGCACAGGGAATTATATATCATATAGTAACCTATCATGAAAAAGAATATGAAAAGGGATATATGTATGTACGTGTATGACTGATCTACTATGCTGCACACCAGAAATTGACACATTGAAATAGACTGTACTTCAATTTAAAGAATAAAAAAAAAACATATATAACACTCTGAACTATGTAAGGAGATGCATAGGAATTAAACATGGAAGTGATAGCTTCTATGCTAGGAGTGGTTGTATTACAGAAGTATGAGCACCGTGTTTTCTTATGTGTTCTTCAACGTTCTACAATGTGCGGTAAGTTATGTCTAGAATACAATATTTATAATCGGTAACGTTAGTTTTATAATAAACAAGTATAATTAAAGGAAGAAATAGAAGGGATAAAATAAGGATCCCACTTTAAATCTTCTATAACAAAGAGCTCACCCTTTTTCCTTGTAGAATACCAGCCAGTTTTTGTGTGAAAATTCTCTACACATTTTGTAAGTTTCCTAAAGGCAAAACAAAATGAAATATTCAAATTAAATGTGTTGGATGCAGTCTTGTCTCTTCAGCTGCTTTTCCTTAAATAAAGTTCTTCAGTGTGTAAAACATGTAATTTTCTGAGACACTACCTCTTTATACACTCCAAGACTCTTATGGTAACAAGGATTAAAATATATTTCAAAATTCATTGTGAACTATGCACTAAAACATCTTCAGAATAGTATTTTAAAAAATAATGCCAAATGCTGGTTAGGAATAAACATGCTATCTGGTGATTAACTGTGGAATTTATTCCATAGCATAAATATGTTGGAAATACTTGGTTTCTTAGATTTGGGTACATTTATGACATTTAAAATATCTCTTTTTTCATGGTCTTTTAAGACCTAAGTATGCTGTCTTGCAGGGCAGAGGGTAAGCCCTATTTTATATCTATTACTTTTTTCTGAATGGCAGGATAAATTCTCTTGGGTTGGCCTAAAATGTTTCCTTACTAGTTTAATTTACTTAATAAACTAAAACATTTCTTTATCTAGTAAACGAAATCAGGTGTTACACTTAGGGGTTTATGACATAAATCCCAAACATAAACACATCACCGGAAAACAGTGCCTGTGTGATTAAGGATTTGTTATGAGTGTCACCCTTAAACAGCTCATGATGCCCTATTATTATTAGTTCAGTCCTGACAAGTCTTCATGTGAGTGTGATGGATACAAAAAGAAGCTACTGATACATAATTATATGTGTATGTATGTCTATCTATTTGTATCATATTCCAATTTACAAGTGGGTCATCAGAGAGTTCTCTTGTGCATTATAGCAAACAAAAGGCACTGAGAGGGATGGGCAGGCATGCATTATTACGGCTAGAAAGTTATAGAAGATCCTTGGCAATTTGCTGGACAAGTTGGGTATTCCTTACAGTTTCCTCCTCGTTCCACCAGGAAGTCTTCTTACATGGAAGCCCCTCTGAAGGAAGGATGAGACGGCGGAGGGCTTGGCTGGTAGTATCCAACAACAGGATGACATTACTCTGGAGATAAAGAGAACAGTGAAAAGCTCAAGACTGATTGATTGATTGATTGACTGATTTTTTAAGGCAGCTGCCTCTTGGCAACCTGGGAATAAAGAAAACAAAGGGAAGACAACACTACTGAAATATTTAAGAGACACTCCAAAGACACGAAATGATCTTCCTTAGTACAGAATTTAAAGTATTAGGTGGTTTTATGAAGATATTTCTAATTATGTAATGCAGAAGTTACTCTCTTTTAAGATTTCACCTTAAAATCATCTCCTTCTAAATATAGGCTAGCTTAACCATGATTCTGTTTTATTATACATGAATGAGGAAATTCAGAGAATTGAAAATTTAAAAAATTCCAACTACTTTTATCAAAATTACACTTAAAGAATGTTCTGTTGAAAACTCTCTTATGCTATGCATAACGGAATCTTATTTATTCTTTTCACAAATCCAGGTTCAATTGAGAAAATATGAACATGATATAAAGATGAGTTAGCAAGAAAATATCCAAGACCCCAAGACCCTAGTTAGTAATGAGTATTTCTTCATCTTGAAATTCACTAAGCTTGAAGAACTTTCATAGCTGGTGCTGTAATAACGTACAAACAGGAGATTGCTCTAGCAGCATTATCACAGTTATGCAAATGAAATAATAATCTCTCAGCAATTACGAGCATTTTTTTCAAGAAAATTTTAAATAAAACTCAGGCATTAAAATTAATGAACAGAAACGTGAAATAAGAACTTAAAATTGAGAAAGGCAGAAAAGACTAAATATTTTAAAGAGATGCAAAGAAGTTGGCTTTTTTAGTTAAAATTTAAAGACACTTGAAGGTTAGACCAGCAGGTTTACAAAAAGGCATCAGCAAAGTTGTTTGTCAGGCCTCACTTTTAGGCAATTGTCTTTTTCTTTCTTATTTTTGTTTACTTTGTTTTGTTTTAAATTTGGGGCACCTTCACCTACCCTAACCCTTATAAGCTTTTCATTTCAAGAACTTTCTTTGGGGAAAATAAAAATCACAAGACACTCAAAGAATTAATATATACTTTACAAAATATATACAAAATATGAAATGTCTGTTCATTTGTTCTGTAACATTTATTGAACAGTTTATATTATTTAAAGCACAAAGGAGAACACAATGATGAATTAACCACGACTCTTGCCCTTCATTTATGTAATCTAGTTAGAGAGAAATAGAAAGAAACTTAAATGGATTAATAATTCATCTGCAACTCTGGGACCTCACAGTGTGGTTTCAATTTTATTTTACTAGCTAATTTCATTGAAGTGCTCAAGAATTAAAGTAGTATTCGTACCAGAGTTTCCTTCACCCCATATACCCTGAATCTTGGCTACATTAAGAAACTTCTAAGCATATTGATAAAGCTTGAATGTTTCCACACTCTTAGAATGCATCATTCTTATAATAGGCAATTCTCCCTTAAGAATGTATGTTAGGAATCTTCTTTTTAAAATCAACGTTTCATTTAAGTGAAACATTGTCTGGCATTTGAAAGTTTGAAAATGAAAGCGAGAGCTTAAAGTTTTCCTTAAGAAAATGTATTAATAAGTTAAAAATTTACACTCTCTGTTCTAGATTAAATCGTTTTTGAGTAAGTATTTTTTTAAAGGAGAAACTCTCCTTTGACAAATATGTACAACATTAACATGAATTGTTACTGATTAGCACTTAAGCAATCTGGGATAATATTAACTTTTCTAAGCAACAGAAAGTCCTAAAAATAATGTTTGATCCCGAAATATGATTAAGTAGAAGAATAGCAGATGATTAAACAGATACGATTAAGCAGAAAAATAAGTTAGTGCAGTTTTGCATTTTTCTTCCTTTTTAGGGGCTAATACTGTATATAGCTTGTAACTGGGTGTAAGTGAACTGAAAAACTGTATCTTTCTAAGCGACAGAAAACATACATATACACGTTTCCAGCCATCGTTGTATTTAGGAATGAGTTCTAGAAGCCGTTGGCAACATGAAGGATTTCTACTGCTCCATCCTTTTAGACGTTAATGGTTTCCTTCTGTAAATGACTAATGATATATTCCGTCTGCGTTTAAAAATAGAATTTTGCATCACACATGAGTACATGTAACTGTGGTTTTGGCACTCCTTTCAGAGGGGCAGGGAGGAGAAGCAACTGAGCAAGTTTATTATGTTTGTATTTGACTGGGAGAAAAGTAACCTCTGGATGACTTCAGTGTCCTAAAGTCTGAAATTCTAAACTTTGTACAGATGTAATAAGTAATCTCATGAGGGGGCTGGTGGGGGGTAAGGAGGAGGGAGGAGCCTTTATTTTTAGGCATGGCAAAGTTTCCCTTTCCTCACTTAAGAGTTTATTTTAGCAAGGAATTTCTGAACAATTCTTAAACTAACTGGGGAAATGCATCTGTAGCACAGCTTTATAAAGACAAGGGATAAATGAATTAATGGAAGTACTTGAGTCTCTCCAGTATATTAGCTCCATTTTCAGTTAGGGTAGACCGGGGAAGAAGGAATTGATGGCTATGAATTCATTTTTCATTTGATGAGAGTTATTTATCGTTTGTTAAGTTTTACAGCCACATGCTGCTCATTTGGTGATTATTTTAATTTTGGAGGGAGTAATCAGGTTTATTTGTTTATTTTTTAATGGAGGTGCTGGGGTTTGAACCCAGGTCCTTCTGCCTGCTGTCAGGCACTCTACCACTGAGCTATACCCTCCCCCTGTGCTGTTCATTTGGAATTAAAGCGGTCTTATACCCTCGCAGGGCCATTATACAAAACAGACAGCTAAGACAGCCTCTCTGGGAAAAGAAGACATGGTTCAGAGGACAGGTAGAGGAAATATCCCAATAAGCTGTTCATGTCTTCCCAGGGCACTGGGGTAACTTTATGGAAAACTGTTGAAACTGGTCAAAGGGATAAGCCAGGCAGCATGCAAGAATGCCAGGAGGGGAAGTGCGGGCTGGGCAAGTCAAGCACATCTTTACGCTGAAAAACGTATTTTTTTTGGTGAAGGTCATTATAAGTGAGTGGGCTATTGGTCAGTGATGTTGCCAAATAATTGGCTCTTTTGAGAAAATAAAATACTTGCTCATCTTCTAACTTATGATGCAATTTCATTACCTTTTGCTTATGGTCTATCTTCCTGCATCAGAATGTAAGCTTTTGAGAACAAGGATTTTTGTCATTTTGTTCACCACAATATCTGTACTAGTAGGCACACAATACATATTTAATGAATGAGTAATATGCTTAGTATAGTATTTGGTAGCTACTAGGTGGGTAGTAAGTACGCAAAAACATTGCGCTCCTTTCTGTCGGGCTGCACAGATTAACTTGGACCTTTAGAATTCTCATGAATTGAGACACAGACTGTCTTTTGACCTAGATCTTCTGTTTGGAATTATTTTTAGCTTGACTCTGGGCATCCGTACTTTTCGTTAGTGTTGTCTTACAAGAGCAGTGATGGCTGGAACTTGAGCATCAGTAGATACCAAAGGATCTCTGCGTACTCCTGCAACGGGACGGAATGTTGATGTCGTCTTCAAGTTTGTATGTTGAAGTCCCAAGCCCCAGTGTGTTAGGAGTTGGGGCCTATTGAGTTGATTAGGTCATGAGGGTGGAGTCATCATGAACAAGATTAGTGCCTTATAAAAGAGATCCCAGCTCCTTCTGCCATGTGGGGTTATCGTGATAAGATGGCTGTCTAGATTCTCACAGATGCCAAATCTGCAAGCACCTTGATCTCAGACTTCCCAGGCTGCAGAACCGTGAGAAATACATTTCTGCTGTTTGTAATCTCCTAGTCTGTGGTATTTGTGCTACAGCAACCCAAATAGACGAAGATGATTCCATTCAGTATATCCACATGGCTGTCTCCACATAAAGAAAGCCATTCAGGTTTCAGATAAAACATCATCTCCTAAGAGGAGATATCTTAGCTCTCTTCTGAGTACTGTTCACCCTCCCAACTTCTCCTACCCCACCCCCATCAGTCCCTAGGACCTTACCTTCTTTCTACATAGCACTTGTCACTACTTAAAATTGGTGTACTTATTTGCTGGCTTAGTCATTGGTTGTCTGTCTCCCCAAAGAGAATGTAAGCTTCACAACAAAGAATTATCCAGCCTCAGATGTCATTAGTGCTGAGGTTGAGAAACCATCACTTACATGTTTCAAGGATTACAGCCCATGAGGAAGTCTCTGCGGAGACGAGGTACTGATAAAACACATGGCCTCATGGTACTGATAAAACACAACCCCTGACTCCTCCCTTCAGCTCCTCTCCTCGATCTTTATGAAACCACGTTATTTTCAGTTATAGGTTGAAAATCGCTCTTCCGTTTCTGTTTTTTCCACATAGGTTACTGTTGGCATACTTATAGCGCGTCACATTACCTGCTGCTCATGGAGAATCACTTGACCCTTGAGGGGATTTCCCAGCGGTGCCACTGTCACAAACGGGTGCCAAACTCCACGGGCCATTCTTGGGAAGATGTCAAAAAAGTCCACAAAGTAGCCACGTTTCCCAGTCATATTCATGAAGTATAAGGAAATGGGATTGCACGCAACTACGTAGAGAGTATCTTCCTCGTTTTCTAAAATGACAAGAAGGTGTTAATCCCATGGCCTGCAAAAGATTTTCCAACTGGTCAAGAGTTCCAGTGCAAACAGTCCTGAGACCGGAGCACACAGTCGGAACTCAGCAGATGATTTGCAAAAGGACTGATCAAGGCTGAAAAGGACTGTGAGATGCAGTTTAGTACCTGCTCTAAGCATAGATGGGGCCACACTTATCAATTCCAGGAAGTAAGTATCTATTTGTTCCTCAAAGAATTTCATAATATTTCATGATAACACCATTAAATATTTAACACTTTATGTCGGGAAATTCTTCCTTGTATAAAAGTATTTTGTGCTTCAGTAGAGGTCTGTTTCCTCTTATTTTATTATTGGCTTAGATGGACAACAGCTGGTCAACATTTTCTATCTGCTAATCTTGCATTTCCCAGTGGCTTACTAGATCTTTAGGCTTTTCTTGTAAATAAGTCATTCCATATTTTTATTCTTAGTTCTATGGATCGTATTTTCCAAATTCTTTTTTGTATTTGAGTATTAGTACAAAATCTCTGTCTTTTCCATCTAGTAACTGAGTAGGTCCATTTTCTGAATTGTATTCAGTGCTTCTTCAACTTTCAAGTGCATATGAATCACTTGGGGAATCTAATGAAAATGCAGATTCTGATTCAGTGGGTCTGAGGTGGGGTTTCAGATTCTGCCTTTCTAACAAGCTCCCAGGAGATGTCACAGTCTGAGGGCCTCCCTTTGAGTAATCAGGCTTTGGACTATGTTTCCCATAATCTCTATGGGCACCTTGCAGCAAGAGATTAAGCTGCCTCTGTATAATAAATGCTATTAACATCACTCATCATCCAGGTGATCACTATTTTACAGTGGTTATATTTTCTGAACCCACAACTAAGGCACAAGAGATGACGATGAGATATGACATTTATATTTGGGACTACCCTGGAAACATTGGAAAAAAGATATAAGAGTGTGTGTGTGTGAGTATGTGTGTATGGTGTCTACAAATAAAGACATAGTAAATTTAAATAAATAAGCTAACACTGATAAGAAACACAAATCAATGGAAGGCCAGAAGAAGGCCTATTTAGGAGATAGTGTGAACTGTGTGTGCTACAGTTCCAAGTATCAGTTAGAATCACACAATTTACAATTCAAGGATCTTTTTAATGCTTCTACTATCAGCACAAATAAGTTCAATGCAACATTTACTGAGCACCTTTGTACACTGTACAGGGCACCAGGGAATACAGTGAAAGCAGTAATAGAAATGTACTTCAGTGCATTAATTCTTCTCTCTTACTGCCGGCATCATGCTGTTTGGTCTTTAACTCAAACATATATGTAAATTAACTCTGATTCTAACCCAGGTAAATATTCTTTTCTCTCACAAATACAGAATAGGTAAAAAACAAAGAAATCAAAGACAATCAAAAAATCTAGTTTGCAAATGTGGACAACAGAGGGTGACCTTACATGAGGGACAGCAAATGAGTTTCTCTTTTAAGGACCAATTCTGACTGGCTGACAGTGGCTGTCCAGATGCTGTGTCAAGAGGAACATGAGACTGGGACAAGGTTTAACAAGAGATGTGATTAGTGACACCTGTCAATGGCACAGGTTGGAGAATCCCAGCATACTTATTTATAATCCCTAAATATGAGACAAGGGCCAAAGTTCAAACTTTGTTCATAAAATCCATATTTATTCCCTACTAGTGAATTTAAAATATCTTAATAGGAGCACCATCTGTTACCAAAAAAAAATTTTTTTAACCTATACATTTTAAAAGCACATATTTTAATTCAACATAGCTGATTGTAGAAACAAACATCCACAGAACTTACATGAACAAAAACTTGCTTCTGAAATTTTGCCTAAATAATCCCCATCTTAGAGACTCTCCATTTCCCTTGCCATCACTTCTGTTTTTATCACCTTAGAAACTGCCACCAATTAAAAGCTTCTGCCAAAAGTACCCAGGGCACACTGCATGAATCAGTAGGTAATGGCAACAGTCCAGAGACGTAGATGCCAAAAAATTCACGTCCTTTATTTGCCATTCTTTACGACGAGAGGTTTAATGACTGCAAATCCTCGAGCCCGGCTTTCAGGGTTCATGCAGTCACCAAACTGGAATCCTAGCCAAAAAATCCAGTGTTTTTCCTTTTTCTTTCCCCCTTTTATTTTTAGCACACGCCTGGGTGTGTTTACCTTTGTGCTACAACTGTAATGAGAAACAGACATACGCATATAAACTCAACAGTGCTTATGTGGATTCCACAATAGTATTTTGTTAGGTTATTATAGGAAATTAGTTCTAAATTACATATAATTGTTATTCAGTCTAAGAATGACACAGTTACTGAGTCTATCACAGACTTCCTGTCTAGAGATTATTCTGATTCTGCTTTTTAAAAAATCAGTGTGGGAAGGGAAAAAAAAAATCAAAAGAAGAAACTGACATACCATGTGATGTAGCAATGTCACAGATTAAGTTAGTATCATCCAATGGTAACTTCCAGGAGGCACATTCTTCAGTAAAGGTTTGGGATCTTTCTTCATGTCTTTCTATTGGATACTCCTGTATGTTTATAAGTGCTGGACCCTATAACAAAGTGAAGTCGAGTAGTTGGAAAAAGTAGAAAAGCTAAAGTTCTTTTAAAGTATATATTTTAAATTCAAACACTCATCATCTTGATATACGTCTTCTCATTTTACTGACTGGCATGATACTTCTAACAGTAATAAAACCATAAGCTTGCACTTGTAAGTGCTTTCACACGTGCTACCTTATTTAATTTCTCATTTTCTTTTCTTTTTACTCACAAAATAGACCAGATGTAAAATCTCATAGGAGTTCTCATTAATTCATTCTTTCCTAGGCCAAGAGCAAGTTTTGAACTCCAAGTATGGAGACCCAGCTGTCTGCACCAGGAGAATACTTTGCAAATACAGTTTCTCTTGAGCATTGATTTGCATGTCTTACTGTCCTTAATTAATCAAAAATGTTTGGGTTAGATCTTGACAACTGTGGTGTCCATGTGTGCCCTCACCCCTTCTAGCTGGCGTCTGCACTTTGGGAGCTAGAAGACTAAAAACTGCATTCCTCATACTTCTTTGCAGCAAGGATTCTGGATGTGATCTAGGTTCTGCCAACTAAGTGCATTTGCATGAGATTCGGAAGGCAGATGAGAGATCGTGGCCATCTTCCCGCAGTGAGAGCAGACAAAAAGGCTCTGACACATATGGGCAGTCAGATTCGATGCTCTGCTACAAGGGTTGGTGAACTATGAACCACAGGTCAAGTCTGATTCACTACCTGCTTTGGTGAAATTTTACTAGAACACAGTCACGTAAACACATTTGGTAACGTAATGTCTGAGCTGTTTTGTTGCTACCATGGCAAACTTGAGTAGTTGCAACAGGCTCTGTATGGCCCCAAAGCCTGAAATATTTACTATCTGGCCCTTTACAGGCAAAGTTTGCTGACTCTGCTTTATTGTACAGCTCCCAGCAACAGAGGTGGTAGCAAAAGTAAAAACATTGGTTTTGAAACTAAAAGTCTAGTGGAGGTCCCTTGACTTCTTTTTCCTCCTATCCTTTCTAATAATTCTATAAGCATCTAATCCCCCAGTCAATCTGCTTGAAAAACCTAGAGGGGTTTCTCTTGCAACTAGTGACAGATACTCCCTTCTTTTGGTTTTTTACACAAAAACAAATATAATGGAGTAACCATCCAACCTGACTCTCCTGAAATAGAGGTTAGCTCTTAGGAATTCTACTGGCCACAAGCAATTACCTACACTGAGTCCCTCAGAGGCCAGGTCAGCTTGAGAATTAGAGGAGAAGCTAAATCTATTCTAAAATGACATCAGAACAACTCATTTCAGAGATTGTATGAATCTTCTCCAGGGAAGGCACAGAAAAAACGGTAACATTCAATATTGTGATGAAGAAATAATGATCCTGACCTTTACGTCTATGTGACGAGTTTCTGCTGGACACAACAGTTTTTGCATTCCATTTCTTGACTGACCAATTGTCCAGTAGCCCACAAATGTCTGCTCTGGCAAAGGTAACCTGTCAAGGATGATTTGCAAAGTAAGTATTTCTTATTATTTCCAAGTCATAGGAAAAAAGGATGAGCCATGCAAGTAAATTTGAAGATGGCTTTATTTAGAAGTCAGTTATATTTCATTTTATTAAAAGATAGTCTTTAATACGATGTTTAGAATACACTTTAAGAGGAAAAAGATTTCACATTTCAGAAACTCAAAAGGCAAGGTCCTATTAATACTGTATTTACTTTAAGAATAAACATAATCAAGGTTTACATTTTTTTCTCCCAAATTGGTAAATTACTTAGCAATTTAATATCTAAATTCCTAGTAGAATATAGGAAGGATTGAGGAAAAAATGGAGTAATCCATCCATTTTTTTCAGTCTACTCTTCTAAATTTAGAATCAAATAGTAAGTAGTACACAATACTACCAATCACACGTTTGTCAGTTGTACAGGGTAAGTTTCATAGACTCTATTTTAGCTTTTTAATTATTTTTTACTGTGAATTGAAATATAAGAGACCTACAGAAATGTTCACATAAATGCACCACTTGGTCCTGAGCACACATGTATGTCCAGGACGCATCACCCTCACCTGGAAACTCCCTTGGACCACTTCAGTCATTACCCTCACCAAGAGAGCTGCATCCTGACTTCTAATGGAATGACTTTGTGTTTAGATTCCTTTTCATTTAAAGTTATTTTTATGTAAAGTGATTTGTGAAAACAAATATGGCGATGCTTAAATACAAAACCACAGACAAATTTTTGAGACTAAAGCCTTTGCTTTTTAATCAGACTCTATTTTCTTTAAATCCTTAAAAAGAGAACCATTAATTTGTCATTTAATTCAACCATAAATTTCTTATTCCACAGTAAGTAAAGGCAAAAAAAAATGATTCACTTAAAAATTCTTTAAACATAATTCATATGTGGCTACAAATTGAAATACATGCTTGAAATGAGCTTGATGATGAACAGAGTACATATTTATATTTAGAAAATCATTTATTTTCAGTAAAAGAGTAACCTGACACAACATTTCCATATACTTGATAAGACCATGCAAGGCTTAGATATTTTTTGCATAAAATAAGGAAACCAAGCATTCTGGTGGAATATGATTTTTGTCCCTTTGAAATGTTAATGCTTAACAAAAAAGGAAAGAAATTTACATTGATATTCTTCTAAGTCATATAACATACATCATTCAAAGGGACGTATGTGTTTTTGTAACTATCATCTAAAATACATTTTAAGTACGTGGACAATTATCCTCAGTGGTCATCCACTTACTTCCATGTTTTTAGTGGTAATGAGGTGGAAGGGCTACTGAATCAGGGGATTTACTATTACTGTGTTCTTTCTTAAATGTAATAAAAACATATTTACGTGTCCAAAGGGCAGATTTTGAAAACATCTTGCAGACTGAGATCTCCTCCTTGTTTAGGGGATGAACAGTATATTTCATTGCTTTTAGCTTTTCACCAAAGGAGTCAGGTCTCCAACACAGAGGACAAAACAAAGGAAGGAGACACACCTAACTTTCCTCTAGGGTAGACGATTTGGTGGGTTATAGTTCTAGTTCTTTTATTAACTAACTATGCAAACTTGTCAGACAATTTCTCTGAGTGTTAATTTTTTTCTTTGTGAAATGAAGGGGATAATCTGTAAGGTTCCAGTTCTTTACAGCTTGGGGCGTCTCTGATAATCACTGAAGCGCGTGGAGGGAAGTGTCAGTGGTAGATCCAATAGTCTTGCATTACCTTGGTACTCTGGGGTGAAAATGAATAATCAGAACAAAATTAAATGAGCTATACCTACCAATAGAATAGGTGCCTGATAGAATTGCTTTCCAAAGTTTATAAAAAGAAGCTCTACACACATTCCAAATTGGCTTTTTGAAGACAACAGGAACATCTTGAAATCTAATTAGAGGTGGAGACTGACTGAATAAAAATGATTCTTGGTTGATAGGTTGATATCTAATCTAAAAAAAAGGTCTAATATGTTCTTTAATAATCCCACAAAAATATCATACAGATGCTAAAAACAAAACCACACTGAAAACGTTCATCCATTTGGGAAAAGTAATGTTACTCGACCTGCAATTTCTACTGACAACCCCAGGGATATTCATAAAAGCTACTTTGAACTTGCCAACTCATTCCAGGTAACAGTCATGGAAATTCCAGGTAACAGTCATGGAAACATGCCTGGTTCCATTTTAAAATAGCTCCAGCTGTTTGGTTGGCAGAGTATGCGAAGGCCCTTCAGTTTCCCCATATAGAATCTATTCCGGAACCACATAACAAGCTAGTAGCGTTAATAACTGCAACGGAAAGTCACATACACAGGGTGTTCCGGGATTCCACAAACTGACTCCATCAGCTCCTTGGTAACACAAAGAGTTGTTTCCGGACTTCCTGGGGGCTCCAGGCCGGCCAGTTGAGGTGAGCCAAAGCCTCTCATTTATTTTCCACTACTAAGTCCTCTCAATAAATTGTGGAAAAATTTGACAGTTACCCTTTCCCCTTCAGTAAGTTAGTCGTCAGGGAAAAGGAGAATTATACTTGATTGAGTGCATGAACAAGCTTTGGAATTCAAAAACATAATCAACATTAATTTGGGGGTAATTCTAAACTAATAGCCAGTTAGCCAAAGGCCCTATATTCCACTATTGAAATCTGTCATCCAACTCCAACCAGACTTAAGTTGTTAGACCTGATTTGATTGAAATGACAATGGTATTTTCCATGGTTTTAAGGTCCTGTCACTTGCATTGTTTAACTTTGTTAAAGTACTATCTGGAATGATGTCTGGATTTGATTTTAAGGGAGAAGAGGATGCACTTACGGCCTATAAATAGTACTACTTTTAATCTTCAGTGTCATTCATGAATTTATGGTTTTTTTTTAAAACAATGAAGTATTTCAAATTCGTGTGTTGTGATGTTTCTTAATCCCTGGTGGAAGTATTAACAATAAAGATCTGGAAGTAAAAGTTTTCACTAAAATCAAGGTAAGTTTCAAAATTATGACTCAGGTCAAATTATAGCACTTGGGCAAGTTACAGAAAGGGAAAAAAGCTCTTTTAAGCATGCACACAGTTCATAACATGATGCATATGGACACCGAAGTCGAGTAATACAGCCTGACTGACATGCAAGAGAGCTGTCTAAGATCGTTTCCATAAAGAGGTAAACTGGGGTTTTAAAGAGTATGTTCTGGCAAATTTCTGCCTTCTTTGAACAGTTGCCAATACTATTTCTGGAGTATGAAAGAAACACATGAAAAAGATTTGGATCTTTCTGGGGGCATTATGCAATTGGAAATTGTTGACATACCTATTGTCAGCAATTCCAAAAGCATTTCCTTACCACAAGAACTACTAATTTTCACGGGAATAATGGAACCCTTCAGGGAAGTTCCACCGACTCACAAAACTTCACCAATTACTACCATCTTTGAGAAGAAAAAGAACAACTCCAATTTTATCAGGCCTCACTCATTCCTAATGTTTTAAATCTAACCTCTGGTAGAAATTAAGTTGGACTATTCAACTCAGTTTACTGGAACCTTTAATAGAATAACCCTGACAAATATTTCCACTTTCGGTTCTTAGCCTTCCTCTTCCTCTCCAGCCAACGTCTGCCTTAGTTACCTCGAAGTGCTACCTGCTGTTCCTGAACATGCTATGCATGTTCATGCTTCCATGAGGCTATTACTTCAGCCCCGAATTTCTTTCTGCTATTGCCTTTTTTGATGAAATCCTTCTCATTCTTAAGGCTCAACTCCAGCGTCACTTCCCCTTGCCTCCCTCTCTCATAGTTCTGTCTGGGTAGAATGAATCTCTCGCTCTTCAGGGTTTCCCTGGATATTTGCACATGCAGAACTCTTAGAAACTCTTAGGATGGAGTTCTGTAGAATGTGCCATTTTCAAACTTAAGACCTGATAGAGGATAAAAGTTTTAGAGAGCACAGTCAGAAGTGAATCTATGGCATCCCTTACAAATATTTACACATACTGAAGTAAAAAGTCAACACACTAAATATAGAAAATAGAAATGTCACTTTAAACATGTTCAATTAGTAATAATGGTACTACTATTTCCAATTATTCTGCCTTGCTTTCTAGAAACGTCTGAATCTCCCTTCCTTACAGTCTCACATGTCACTGGTATGTTAATTTAGCTTTGCTGCAAATGATACACATACAAGTACGTATATGTGTTTTTTCCTGGCTCTGCATTTAGACATTATGGTTTATAACTTAGACTCGTGCATCTCTGCGACCAAGGGCCTGCTGTGGTCACAGAAATTTGGATGCATGAGATGGAAAAAGATTTAGGGAAACTTGTTATTAATGGCCGACACTTCTCAAACACGCTTCCCAGTACCCAGACTGACACTGAGCAGCCTCAGTGCCGCTGCCCAGTGTCACTCTGCCAGAGTGGGTGCTGTCAGCTCGCTCCACACAGTCTTTCTCTGGCTTTCTTCCTCCTCACAGAAGTTGTGAGACTATAGTTCTGGAGCCTGGGTTTCCTTTCCCTCATCTTTCCTCAAATTTCACTGCAAAAACTCTTTTCCTGCCATCTGCTTTACCAACCACATCTTAGTACTTGCAAATCTTAAAATTCTTTCTTTTTCTAATCATTCACATCAACAATGACTGGGACTGAAACTCTTCCAGTTGGAAATCTTCCCAGAAAACCAAAACAAAGCCAAAAAACCCGCAAACCTCAGAAAACCATTGTTATTTCCCATAAGAAGGACTCAGAGGATGAGATGCCGTACTGTGAATGTAGCACTCTGAATAGAACTTTGCATCATAAGGCTGAGCGTTCACATGTTTTTCCAAGATTGTTAATTCATTGAGGGTAAGGCTTACATCTTACTCACTTGAATCTCTGGCACTCAGAATCCATCGATCCTGCCACGGACATGTCTCTCACTCCTGTCCCTCTTTTTCATTCCCGCTGCCACAATGTAGGCTCTCAAGGTTCATCACTGAGATT